TTTTTTTTTTTTTTTTTTTTTTTTTTTTGTAGTTTCAGGAACTGACGGTCTGATGGATCAACCTTCCCTGCTGTCTGACTGACATTTGCTGCTAAGACTGCGTGAGGGTTCACAGACTTGTTTATTTTAATGTCTTTCTACATGTTGATTTGTTTTGTTTCCAACATTTGGGGGGATTTTAATTAGAGAAGTACAATTAGAAACATATTTACCAAGATATAATGTTGATGGCACTAATCTCTTAAAGAAAACCAAGAGCCACTGACTAAATGGCATTTTATTTCCATGACATATTTATTATTACTGACCCCACCAGCCCGGATGCTTTGCTCCTAGCTAAACTCAAAACTTGCTAACTTTTTACACGTTGTTAACAGAAGTCGGGATGTGTAAAAAAAGAAAATCAGCCTCTTATTTCCCATCTGACCTGCTCAATGTTGTTGGGGTTTCCTCCAGGCTTAGGCGGTGGTGTTGATGTTCTCCACTTTCTACTTATTAGAAAAAATAGTTAGTGGTCATTAATTGTTCCTAAAAATGACCGCATGGCAACAGTGCCTATAAAAAAAGTATTCACCCCCTTTGATGTTTTACTCTTATTACTTTTACAAATAAATCATGATCAACAAAATTTATTTTTGACTATGTCAAATACCTTCCTTTTTTTAAAAAAAAAATGGATTTAATGTCAGGATCGTGTTTCTGTGTATTTATTTTTAGAGTTTTTTGTCTTCAGTTTGCTCCCTGTGTCTCTGTCTCTGCGTCTTCCCCGTTGATTGTTCCAAGGTGTGTCTCGTTCCCTTGATTAACCCTGTGTGTATTTAGTCCCACCTGTTGTCTGTGTTCTTTGTCGGGTCCTTGTCTAAGTTTGTGTAACGTACGTCCACGTCGTCTTTGTTAGTCTGCCCGCACAGTTGAACTGTGAAGTCCTGTGCTGGCATTAGCTCATCGTGTCAGTCTTTGTTGTCAGTGCTACCGGTATTTAGCTGCGTGCTAACTTCTGTGCCGTGCCGTCTGTTTTTGGACTGTTTGAGCTTCTTCACCATTAAATCCTTCATCTTAATCACAACCTGGGTCTCAGCGTCCTCTCCTCACCACAACCACATCAATCCTGACATTTAATTAAATTCCAGGGGATGTTCAGTGGCTCAGATTTTTTTTGTATCCATCTCCTGACTGATACTTTCCAATAATTTATTGAAGTGTTCTTTTGTCTTCATTCGAGACACAGTCACTCATTGTGGATTTGGATTTGTATGTTTCATTGTGAGGCTGCTAGCCCCAATTGACCGGACCTCGGTTGAATTAAATCTGCCACTTTAACAGGATGAATATTTACACAATTGCATTTTATGTTCCATGTTTTTAATTTATTGTCATTACTTTCTAGAAATCAGTTTTCACTTTGACATTTAAGGTTTTTGTTTTATTTTATTTGTGAAAAAGCCAAATTTTCTTGATCATGATTGATTTGTGCAAACGTTAAAAAGGTTAAAACAACCAGAAGGGTGAATACATTTTATGGACACTTTAGATGTAAGAAATATGAAGTTAAAAAAAAGGTTAATTTACCTCGATATTAAGACAAGGAGGAATATCATGATCAGCAAAATAGAAGGAATAGTTCCAATGAGTATATACATTAATGACACTGAAAAGAAAACACATTTAGTAAAACCAAGTTGAAATTTTTAGTGATTCAACAAAATAAAATTCTACTCTGGTTTTTCCTCTGTTTATCCCACAGTTTGCACACTAACTATGCCTAGCATAAAGGTCATTTGATGATTTAAATGAGAAACGTTTACCTGCCACAACATTCACAGTTACAGTGGCGTTATGCCATCCTATCTTGTTCTGGACTTTACAGTAATAGTTCCCATTGTGTTCATTTTGTATGTTGGTGATAGTGAAGCTTTTTTCTGAAGCTTTTGGTGCCTTTTCTCCCTCTTTGTACCAGCTGTAGTTAGCTGCTGGGTTAGCATCACTGCTACATGTCAGAGTCACTGAGCTGCCCTTCATGATGTCACCAGAAGGACTCAGTGACACTGAAGGAGATCTGGGAGCATCTGCGAGGGAGGATGTTATTTATAATAATGCCAGAATATAAAGTTAATAAGTGGAAGACATTCTTTAATGTGCTACTGCTTACATTTAACGTCAACATTGACTCTTGAGTTATTTTGTCCCTTCGTGTTTGTGGCTGTACAGTAATATTGCCCAGAATCATTTGAATTGATGGAGTTGAAGATGAGATTTTTATTTGATTTCATGGGTTTTTTGTCTTTTCCCCTGTACCAGGTGTAGTTAGCTGCTGGGTTAGCATCACTGCTGCAGGTCAGAGTCACTGAGTTTCCCTCCATGATGTCACCAGAAGGACTTATGGACACAGAGGGAACCTTTGGGGCATCTGACAAAAACAATAAGTAGACATTTACTAAGCATGAATGAAATGGAAATACTTCCTGATATAGAAAAATGAAAACTTACAGAGAACATCTAGAAACAGAGATGAAGAGTTACGTTCTCCATGCTGGTTCTGAGCCTTGCAAACGTAGTTTCCTCTGTCCTCAGAGCCGACAGCGACATGATAAACCTTCGATCCAGTCAGAATGATTTTATTCTCCTTGTACCAGGTGTAGCTAGCTGCTGGGTTAGCATCACTGCTGCAGGTCAGACTCACTGGGTTTCCCTCCTCTACTGATCCAGAGGGGTTCACCGACACAGAGCAGCTCTTTGGACCGTCTGAGTGAGGAAACAAAATGAAAGCCTGAAGTTGGATTTGTATGTTTCACACTATAATACAGGATATATTAAAAGTCTACGGCTAATTTTCTGAACTGGTTACCCAGTAAATGAAACCAAAACAAAACAAAACAAAAAAACTCTGCTTTACTGTCTAACCTTCAAACACTCAAGTTTTTGTTCTAAAGATGAAAATTCAAAAATCAGACAGGAAAATCTGAGTGCCACACTTCAGAGGTTTTACTTAAAGTTCAAGTTTTAAAAACATTTTCAACTTCCTGTCATGACTTTCTGATGATTATTCAGCCTGGGAGAATTACATCCACAGGAGTTTTCCCATTCAATCAGATTATATCAGCAGTAGTTCTACATTGTATTTTACTCACATTTCACATTAATATCGATACTTGGAGACGTTTGGCTTCCCAGGTCATTTCCAGCTGTACAGTAATACCTCCCAGTATCAGAGACCTGGATGGAGCTGAAGACTGATTGTATTTCTGTTCTGAGAAGTTGACCATGTTGACCTTCATTCACCCTGTAAATGTCGTATTTAGCTGCTGGATTAGCATCACTGCTGCAGGTCAGAGTCACTGAAGAGCCTTCAACAGTTTCTGAGGGCGTCACTGACAGAACGGTGGTCCGAGGAGCATCTGGAGAAAACATGAGAATAATAATTTAGATGAAGCTCATGACGTTGCAACTTAAAACTCAGAATCCCAAATATAAATAAATTTACAACAATGTAGAGATAAATGTATTAAACTTTTGGCATCACATTCAAAATTTAGCAACAACTGTGAGGACTTGTGTTAATGTCATTTCTTGGTTTCTTAATTTCAGGATTTTTATTTTTTCTAAAGTCTCAAAAGCTTTTTTACACATTATTCATTGTAATGAGATATTTATGTGCAGCATTTTGAGGAAAGAGATTATTGTAACACAATTTGAGATGTGACTGTAACATTGCAAAATAATGAAAAAGCAAATCACTGTGATGTCAGGCTGATATGGGAATCTGATGGAAAATATGTGGAAAGAGCAACAGATTAGGGTGATGGGAAAGAGGCTCTCCAACCTCAAAGATCTGCAACTTATTACCAGAGATAAATAATCAATTATTTAGTGGAGATGTGTGAAGGGTTTTATTGCTGTAACCTCGCTGAAGTGGAAATTGATTTTGATCTGACATTTTTGTAGATTAAAGCAGATGCTTTTATTTTCTCTCCAATCAGAAATCACAAAAATTTACAATGTTTTGAACTTTTGAGAGATGCATGTCAAATCAGTAACTATAACAAATTTCTTGGTTGAATTGAAATATTTTTAGATCTAAACCTGCCAGGTGAATTAATATTTTTACTTTAAATATTTCCATCAGAGAAGTGCAGAGATGCAAACTTACACACTGCAGGAGATGGAACATCCTCACGTCCTTTTATGGCACATTGATATCTGTGTGTGGTGTTAAATGAGGACAGGAACACATTTTTATTCTCTGTTGTGATTGGTGTTTCATCCTCCAACCAGACGTAGGAAACTGGACGAGGCAGCTGACAGTCAGTGTGACATGTCAGCTGGATCCTGGTTGGATCGTCTAACCTGTTTACCTTCACCTGGAGCTGTGGATCTATGTGGACAAAAAACATCATAATTTTATGAAAATAAAACAGTAGATTTATTTAGAGGTTAAACTGTAATATTTGTAACATCTTAAAACCAACTGACTTAAATAGTAACTTTTACCTGTGACAGATAAAGAGACTCCAGGTGAACCAGTGTATTTTCCATCTGGATGGTTTGTTGTGAACCTGAACTTGTACTCTTTTGAGTCAGCTTGTCTCACATTAGAGATTTTCAGACTGCAGGATTTTTCTGTACATTGATATTCCACACGACCTGAATAATCTCTGTCGTCTTTCAGATCCTCATAATTTCCATTACTCTCTTTTGTAAACCATAATGTTTTCTCTATAACAATCCGTACGTTTTCATATATGACTGGGTAAGTATAGTTGCAGCTCATTTCCACCGTTGATCCTTTTAGGGCACAAATGGAAGGACTATAACTCACACCCCAGCCATTCTGACCACAAACATTTGGAAGAAAAACAGACATTAAATAAACCTTAAGTAAACTGTTTATGTAAACATATTTTTATGAATCTTAAATACATTTTCAAAATTATAATAATCTGTCTGCTAAAATCTTTTAACATTTGAAGAATCTGGGGTCTCGTCTACAAAGGCTGCAAACATAAAACATTTATATGCTCTTGAGTTTCCACACAAAGTTAAAATCAGTAATCAAAGTTTATGAACTAACAGTGGATGTTTGTGAATTCACAAGTCGACTCTTTCTACACCTTTCAACTTGTTGCTGATTCTTAGAAAACTAGAAAACTGTTAATATTGTAAAAACAACGACTGTACAATCTATGATGAACAATCAATATATCAATATATTGTAATATCATCAGTGCATAAAAAAATCATCCACAGTCCAAAGTTTTATGGGCCTTAAGCAGAATTAAATTTGCGATCATTCTTCCTATTAACATCATCATTAACAGGATTCAATAGAAATTTTGTGGAATCTGGGAGAGAGAGTTGAGTTTAATTAGCTGAATATAAAAGCAATGAGATTATTGATTATTAATTAATGAGATGATTTGTGAACAAACTGAACTCAAAGATAAAAAATGGATTAAACTTCAAACCTCAGATTATAACTCCTTGTAATTTTTTTTTTTAAATCTTAAGTTAAATGGTGCACAATTTTAAATTGGTTAATTCAACAATGTTAAAAGTATAAAACGTCTTAATGGTGATTCTTAACCTCAATAAACAATTTTAGATCCATTGTTTATGTTTTGGCCTCTAGTTTGCTGAGCCTCAGACTGGCTCTGGTATCAGTCATGTGGTTAGGAATAATAACAGCAGTTTTATCATTATTATTATTATAACTATCATTATTATAGATGCATCAATGTAAAGCTGAAGAAAGTCTCCTAGGATGATTTAAAGTCAGTCCTTCTGTGTTTGGAGCTGCAGACGATGTTTCCACATGATGAGTCTCTTGTTGCTGTTTTCTGTCACCATCTGACCACAAAGTGACTGTCAGGTTAATCCAGGCTCAACAAGTCAACACTGAAACAAGCTTTATTAGCTGTTCAGGATTTAATATTCAATAATATTTTATTGATCCAACAACAATCTGAATGGCAGTCAGATTTATCAGATTACCTTCAAATTAATTTGAGCTGGTCCAACATTAAAGCCCAGTTTACAGTGAACTCTTTCCACTAAGATCCTGGCTGAGTTTACAGCAGCTGTGAAGAAACAGGCTGCTGTCATTCTGTCACTGTTTAGATTTATTTACTGGTGTGTTTTTTATAAATGTTTTTCTTGTAAACTGTGTTTTCATATGCCTCATTTACACATTTTTCTAACACTTCCCTCACAGTAAAAGTTCCTCTTCTGCACTGAAGAAAACCAGACGACTTATTTCTGTCTGTCTGTGTGAACTGAGGAGTTTGTTCTTTCATTTGCTCTGCATTTTGATTAGGATGTTCAGTGTAAATGTGTTTGCCGCTATGCACATTATCACATCATCCTGCTTTGTTTCCTGGATTTAAACTTTCATCATGATTTAGTCGGAAATCCTTGCAAGTTTTTGCAAAAGTACAAAAGNGAAGNCATTTCNGTATCANGTTCTAAAATGATCTTAGTCTGACCAAAAGGTCACAAAAACACAGAACAGATTCTCCCAATTTCTTTATTTGTCTAAGATTATTTCTTATTTACAATGGATATACATGTAATACTTATTTATAAATGAAACTTCACGTGTTGGAAAAGTTTTAAAAATATTAACTTTTCCTAAAAGAATTGAACAAAATTAATCATTTTAGCTGAAAAAGTTTTCATCAGTCATTTCTTCATTATGCTCATTGCAACATGACAAAGATCTAATCTAAGACGTGAAACACTTAGAGGAAGCTCTTGCAGTGAATTTTAAAAGTATTTGTCTTTAATTATCCGTCCAGTCAGAGCTTATTAAATATTAGCAAAGACGACTGACACGCAAAAAATCTATTTTTGGAAAAACTATATAAAAATCTGTCAGGACTTTTTAAATATTTCAAAAAGGTCTATGCAGATTATTCATGACCTTTATTTATTCTTAACATTACAACACAAACATCCATAAATATATTGTAATCAATACATTTTTTTCCCACTGAATCATTTTGCTTTAAATTCAGATTTTTTTTCTTACTTCATAAAATCTGAAATCAAAATGTTTGAAGTGTGAAATAAAGTTTCCTGCTCTTTACCTGCTGCCATCAGAAGGACAATAACTCCACGGATCGCTGCTGAGAAACTCATAGCTGCTGCTTTCATCTCTTTATATGACATAAAAATGGCAGAGACTCAACTTTAGTCTGCAGAACAAAGTAACAGGAAGTTATTTTCCCCCAGAACCTTATGCAAATGAGATGAAGAAGTTGTTTAGAATGAGCTCAGTTTCCTTCCTCTTCTCATCTGTGTGTGAGCGGCTAATGGCGACACATGATGGTAGTAGATAGGTTGTAGAAAAACGGGAAGACTTTAAAATATTCTGCTGTGTAATTCAACTCTGATGTAGAGAAACAAGAAATGTCTTAGGTTCTGTTTTTATAGTTAAAGGACAATGTTTTTTTTTTTTATTAATTGTATAAATGGATTTGTCAAAAATCATTGTTTATGTGATCAAACATTTGTAGGATTTTAAAAGCTGAAATCTTATCATTGAGAAGTTGAAAATAGAAAATAAAAAATGGTTCAACAGAAAAACATTTTGGATAAATCAGCATCCAGCTGAAATTGTTTTGCTCTGATTTGATGTGGATAAAAGTTTGGTTGACTTGAAACGCAAAGAAGTACCAGGGGTGTCAAACTCCAGTCCTCAAGGGCCGCTGTCCTGCCACTTTTTGATGTGCCTCTGCTGCACCACACCTGAAAAGAATAATTAGGTCATTAGCAAGGCTCAGGAGAACCGATCTACACAGGGAGGAGGTAATTAAGCTGCTTCATTCCACTGTTTTTTACCTGTGGCACATCTAAACACTGTAGGACAGCGGCCCTTGAGGACTGGAGTTTGACACCCCTGATAGACGGTAGTAAGAAGAGCGTAAGAAGGCAGGGAGAAACGTCAGATGTGACGTTTCTGTTCTGATACCAATATTTCTAATAATGATGCAGTTTGAGAAAAGTGTGAGGAAAAACGATGTAGCAGATATTAATGTCCCTTACTCACTGACTTCATATTAATTTTATTTAAATATAATTTAATCTGGCTGGGAAACAAATATCACTCTGTTCTCCCACTCAGCCATTGTTGCCGTTGCTACAGTTTAGCATGCTCTGTTGAGAAATACTCTTCTTTCATTGGTCACATAGATCCTCATTCTGGTGGGCTACTGCCCTCTCCCGGTCATATTCTGTACTGCAATCATCTTCTACTGAACCTTGTTATACTGTTCATGACTCAACATAAAGCAGAACATGATTCTGAAGTGGAATGAAAGTGGCATGTTTTTTTTTTATCTCTTAACGATAAAAATATATATTTTAAATGGTTGTTATTTCTAATCGGTTCCCTTTACTACAGCGGCTCTCAATAACGGCTCTTGTGTAAATTATTTCACTTAAAAAGACAAGAGTCAGGGTTCCATCCTTACAAAGTTTATTTAACGTGAATTATAAACCAGCTTAAATGGTTGCATAAAAAGGTGGAACACCCCGATTGAAAAGCACAAGTCACACAGGAAACAGGATTCCTCCAGTGCCATAGAGGGCGCTATACAGACAGAGAATGTAATGCCTCAGACAGCACCGGATGCCACCAGCAAGGAGGAAAAAACACCACTGGAAAATCCAAGCTGAAGAGAAAACACAGTAAACAAATGTTAGAAATGATGGTTCCTATCTCTGCCCCCACAGATCCTCAGATCCGACCAGCCACGGATATGGCAGGCAGTTTTAACATGTAATCAGTTTCCTCTGACTATCTGGAATGTGACTACAGATATCTAAGGACGGGTTTTAGACACAACTTCATTTTATACGTGGTATTTAAAGATATCTACATCCATATTCTGACTAGTAAGAAAAATTAAAGACATTCTGACAAATCAAAGTGCCTTTCAAAATATCTTACATGACGTCACCAGGTTTATTTGAAGGGTCCGACATCCGTAATTACTATTCAAAATATGTTGAATGTAAATATGACTAGTCAAAATTACATTTTTACATATCTGAATTAA